AAAAAACAATATCTTTCAAAAAGGTCTCTTCAGTATAATGGATAAATAAAATAGTTAAGTAAAATAAAAAAGCCGAAGCCTTCTTGCAGTGGATGTGCTGGTTTGGGCCTCATTGCCGGTTGCAGTCATGTCCTCATCTCATATATAAAACAGCTGTGATTCACAAATACTTGCTAAGGAACTCGCATTCACATAAAGTAGCCTTGTTGACAAGCTTGGGTGAGTAAGGGCAAAACGCAGTACTTTCAGTGACCTGTAACAGGCAATATCACGTCTTTTGTAGCAGAAATAAACTGCTGCAGAAAAAGCTAGGTCCATGCAAAATGTAATGTGTAACTGCAACACTAATTTCAAATGTAGTGGAGTAAAGAGTACAGATACTCATTAATTAATGTAGTGAAGTAAAGAGTAAAAGTTGCTAATATCTTTGATACTCAGTACAACTACAAAGTACCCGAAAAGATACTCAAGTACAGTAACTAATTACATTTACTCCAATACTTTACTCCTCTGTGAATGATAACACATGCAAAAACATACATTATCATAAATCCATCATATCACTCATGCTTTTACATCCATCTTGTTTTACTGATTTTATTTTATGATTATTTCTGGTCGACAGGTCTCGATCCCGGTCATTCCTACAGTAGGCACAGAGTTTCGTCTGCACCGCCTCCAAAGGCCTAGAAGACAAGGATGTCTTACCTGTGGGGAGTGAGTGAGTGTATGGGAAGTGAAGAAGTATTGATTTGCACTGAAGAGAGCCGCCCACACAGACCGAGAGAGATACAGAGAAAGAAAGAGATGAGCGGGAACTTGTATTCAGCTCTTTGGGAATAAAAGGGTCAGAGCCTCATTTGTCAGCCGGACCTCCACCTTATATAATGACCATGAACTGTATTAATTTGGCTGAACGGTAATGAGGTCCACTGATATGGCTTTGTTACTTGTTGGTCTGTACATGTGTCAAAGCTTAGACTCCTCCATCAGAAGAGGCATGTTTGCTGTATATAAATGCTGTGTACTGCCTTAGAGATATTTGTGGAAAAAGCACTAAATTTTTCCTTGAGTGAAAGAAAAGAGCTAAATTAGTTTATCTGCTTATCATAAATAGTTTCAAATCTTCAGGTCAGGCTATTGAATCTTACTCTGGGACATATTCTAGTCATTTGTCTTGTTATAATGACCATCCTGGTTGACGGTGGACAAGGTGTTCGTTAAAAAGCGGCGGATTTGTTTGTTTGTTCTGGTTGGTCTTTCGGCCAGGATATCCTGAGGCTTTGCTTGGCCTCCATTCCTGCAGGGCTCTTGTTTCGGAGAGCTCTAAGTAGCTCTTGATGCTAGTGGCTGGGCTGGCAAGGCCCTCAGCAGACCCTCCTTATTCTCCTCTTGGCAGCCACCCACTTCAGTGACCTGTAACAGGCAATATCACGTCTTTTGTAGCAGAAATAAACTGCTGCAGAAAAAGCTAGGTCCATGCAAAATGTAATGTGTAACTGCAACACTAATTTCAAATGTAGTGGAGTAAAGAGTACAGATACTCATTCAAAAATGTAGTGAAGTAAAGAGTAAAAGCTGCTAATATCTTTGATACTCAGTACAACTACAAAGTACCTGAAAAGATACTCAAGTACAGTAACTAATTACATTTACTCCAATACTTTACACCTCTGCTGTAAATATATCAAAACATAATTCTTGATTAGTAATATGCATTGCTAAGAACTTCATTTGGACAACTTTAAAGGCAATTTTCTCAATATTTAGATTTTTTGCACCCTCAGATTCCAGATTTTCAAATACTTGTATCTCGACCAAATATTGTCCTATCCTAACTAACCATACATCAATTGAAAGCTCATTTATTCAGCTTTCAGATGTATGTATGAATGTATAAATTTCATGGTTTGTGGTCCAGGGTCACATATGCTGATTTGCTGCTCAAGAAACATTTCTCATTATTATCCGAAAACAGTTGTGCTGCTCGATATTTTGATATTTGATAAACTGTAATACATTGTTTTACGGTTCTTTGAATATAATTTTGAAATTTAATAAAAATATAATGTCTTTTATATATCTTTACTTTCATTTTTGATGCATCCTTGCAGAATAAAAGTATTTATTAGTATAACCCTAACCCTGTCTGCAACCACTCTGAAAAGGATTTTCTGAATGTCTCTCAGGGGACAGCAGGTATTTTTTTAAGCCTCTGTGACTCAGGACGTCTACACTGGACACTAATAAAGATGGCCGTGCAGACAGATTCCACAGCACTCACCTCATAAAATAAGCATTTGGGGACTCCCACCCCATCTGAGAGGACTGTGCATGAGGTTAATGAAGCTGCAGCAAGACCTTTTGTTTATTTTCTTTCCCTCCTTTGGCCCTATCCGAGTTTGTTTTGTCACACTTCTCTCATACTCTTTGAACTGGGAACGTCAAACTTCCTGATTCGCCCCTTCTTGCCCCCAGCTGTGGCTGTCTGTTACTCTGTCAGTAGATTATATACAGCTTGAGCTTTCCTGTCCCACTGCCAAGGCACCGACTTCACACCGCCACAGTTAGACGTTTGGAGTTCAGAAAGGCCTCAATCCCTGTGATCTGATGGGATCTTTAAGCCGCTGCTATCCATTTGTTATTGTAAGAATAATACACTGTTCGTTAAGAAGAAACCTGTTTTTCCTAATGACTGTAATTATGTCTGCTACAAGGCAGAAAATCACACTAACTATTCATCTTACTCTTTAAAGACGTTATTTAACTCCGGAATAAATTACAGCTTTCCCAGTGTGCCCTTTTGCAGATATAGCCTGGGTGGCTAAATGTGGAGTTCATCTGCTTCTGAGAGACCTTGAACTGCTCATTAACTGAGCACAATTTAGGGTAATGGGCATCCTATCTGAGCCACTGGTAATAAGTATGTGTCAGCCAGGAAACTACTGAACAAAATGCTTTTGTACCAAGTGCCAAATCTCTTGGGCCCCAGCCGAGGAGGTGTTTAAAATGGGGGATATGAGCTTTGCACACTCATCTTTGGGAATCAGCAGGATCTGGAATGCCAGAATATAGTCTGTGGCTCAGTAGAAAAAAACATTATTGTGTTTTATGGTGATTTGTTTTTCTTTAAGACATGGGGGCATCTAGATTGTACTGTATATGAGTTGTAATGTCTTCAGAATACTTACTATAATTACAAATGGTGTGCTTGCAAGTATGAAACATAATATGCATCCACTGTGGTGTGGCCATCCTCTACTAACCTCACTGAAAACTAGTTTGGAAAACTATCTTACAATATCATTCCATTTTTGTAAATTTAAGGGTTCCTACAATCATGAAAAACCTGGGATTATTTGGGTTTTTTATTATTATTATTATCTTTGAGATAATGTAATATTAAGATTATTTAACATTTAAAATTATTTTATTTATAAATTATTACATTTACAATTTATAGGACAATTTATTTATACATTTTTATATTTTATAATGATTGTATTATTTAACATGTATATGTAAATAAATGTAAAATATGAATTATATGATTGATGTAATTATATGATAGTATGGTGATGATGGTTGTTTAGTTATTTATTTTTAATGAATATGCTCAGCTTTGTAATTTGATATATATATATATATATATATATATTTTTTTTTTTAATTGCTCTTTGTGATTTCAGTCTCTATAAAATCCTTATCCAGTAATCATGACTAACTAGAAAAATCTGGCAAAGATCATTTGAAAATCATAGTTAAATTCATTAGAACCTTATAGCCTTGTTCTGCACATTTTCAGTTTTTATAAATTCATCTAAGATCTAAAATTGCAAGATCTTCCATTAACGTTGACAATGTTCAACATTCTAAAGCGTTAATGCCATTTCAGTGTTTCCATACTAATTTCTGATTATCATCACATACTGACTTATAAACAGCAGTATCTTTCAAATCTGTTTTTCTGTTTCTTCAATTTTCTTGTAAAACCCTTATGTTGTTTGTGTGAAATTTAATTTCTTGTGGCTGTTCTTATCCGAAGCCAAGCCACCAGATGACTACTCCAGTCCTTCTTTTCCATGCGCCTTCCTCTTTTCCTCTTTCCCTTCATGGCTGCACCTCATCCCGACTCTGTGTGTGTGTGTACCATGCACATTCCAGCTCTACTGTCCATGCCACAGAGGAATCCCGGACTGTGGCTTTTGATTGGTCATCATTTGTCTGGCTTTCAAACTGAATTTAAGCATGTCAGCGTCTGATAATGTTGTCAACTTCTACTGTGTTACTTTTGCATTGAAACCACTGATATTTTTTCTGTTTATTGAACATTGTGTTTTCTTTCCGTTCACCTCTTTAGACTTTGCAAACATGAATCAAGAGTAATTGTTACCAAATGTTCGATACATTGTTCTCAAAGCTTGGAGCGTGGTTTATTCATCGTTCATTGAACCCTGAGACCTGCACATTTTTCCATGTGAAATGCTTTTCCACACAAGCCTGCGTTTGATTCGGTTGAGAAAACCGTGTTTGGGGAGTTACGTAGTGTGTACATGGATTTGGGATTTTCACCAAATTGAAGTGCAGTTGGGCGGCACTACAAAGAGAATAAATGTTCCCAATGAACCTTCCGAATAAAAGCTTTCTATTTGTAATGTCGTTCACATGTCTGGTTATTCCCCTTTTCAGCGTTCCAGAGGAGTACAAGTGTGGAAAATCATTGGGGCCTGTGGAGTCCCTGCAGGAACATCCGCAAGACTCTGATAAAATCCTCATTGGTTACAGCAGAGGTCTGGTTGTACTCTGGGACCTCAACAGTCGGCATGTAGACAACCTCTTTCTGGGAAAGCAGGTGGGTTTGTGTGTGAGTTTGCTTGATGTCTCTCAAATGGTTTTCGACACTCGTTGGGGTTGTGGTTTAAATGCATTGAATTGAAATAGAAATATAGACATCTGTGTTTTAAAGTCTCTGTAAATGCCAAATAATTGCACTGCAGAATTTCAAAGTGATCAGGTCAAGAGATCGGTCCACGATTCATAAAAACTCCTTTTAATTCCGTCTTTAAATCATCAGTGCTTAAAGTTAAGATGTCTAGATGGTTTAACTCCGACCTTTTGACCACTTCCTTTCATCGTCTTTGGTCCTTCTTTGACGCTGTGTATTGTGTGGGACTGTCACTCTTGCAGCAGCTGGAGAGTTTGGTCTGGGAACGGTCCGGGAACAGCTTTGTTAGTTCCCATAGTGATGGCGGATACATGGTGTGGGCTGTCAGCAGCAGCAATCCCTGCACTCGTGACCCCATCTCATCCACAGTACCATATGGTGAGCCGAAACGCATGTCAATTACACACCCTTCCCTTTTTCTCTTTGTTTCTCTCACACACAGATTGTTCGTTAGCAGTTTGTTTACATGTGCAATTACAATGCTCAAGTGGTTAAGTTGCATTTTCCATCTGTCTGTCCAAGTGGAAACTATCGTTCATAAGTTTGGGGTCAGATAAAAAAAAACTACTTTTAGTCATCAAGGATACATTCAATTGGTCAAAAGTGACAGTAAAGACAGTTTTCAGATAAATGCTGTTCTTTTGAACTTGAATTCTGAAAAAAATGCATTACAGTTTTTGCAAAAAATATTAACCAGCACAACAGTTTTCAACATTGACAATTAGAAATGTTTCTCGTGCAGCAAATCAGTATATTATAATGATTTCTGAAGGATCATGTGACACTGAAGACTGGAGTAATGATGCTGATAAATCAGCTTTGCATCACAGGAATAAATTACATGTTAAAATATAGTTAAATAAGTGGGGATGCTACGAATATTCGTCAACCGAAATTATTCGGTTAAAATTCGGAATAAGCGAAAAGGCAAAATAATATGTACCGAACAATGACGAACGCGATTAAATAGGGGCACGCGCTAAAGCAGCAAACATCGGCAGTGTGAAAGTATTTAAAACTATCAGAGAAAGACGCAGAAAGCACCGACAGCGAGAGACCGTTTAGTTCTGCATCACATGTCTCCAATGAGAAGAAGAGGTGGCTAATGCTTGTGGTTACTGATTGATGATTGAAATTGCGAAATGGCCTCAAACGATTAGTAAATAAACTGCAGAATGTTATATTTTCTGATGCACGCACGAATTGCATGTATTCTGACAGCTCTGCACGAGCGCCAGGGTTCAACGTCCAAAGCGCGAGGAAAATCTGAGCTGAACTTGTTACTCGTCAGTTGCTCAGTAACATTTTTGTGAATTTTTTTTAAAGGCATGTGACAATGTGATACGTGCGTCGAACATCTTCCCAAATTCGTAATGAGAATCATTTGTCAACAAAAAGAAGCACTGAGATATTCCTGCGGGTTTCTGCCAAAATAAAAGCCGAGCAAAAGCAACAACTCCATCAACATTCATAAAAGTATTGCAATTTTACTGTTGTTCTGTAAAAAAGTAAGTAAAATAAAGTAAGACAATAATAATGATAACAATAATTACCCTACAACAGCTCTATTAATAGATTTATTATAACATTCACACATAGTGTTCAAATTGGGATCTGTAATATATTGTAATGTTTTAAAAAGTCTCTTCTGCTCAGTAAGGCTGCCTTTATTTGTACAGTAAAAAATACATGTCTGATTCAAGTCAATGTTTGAGTCAGTCAATTTTACTAACTCATTAATTTTGTTAAACTGTGCTTTGTTGGTGTAATGTCTGCTAGAATGTAAAAAAAATGTTCAGTGTTAAGTAAATATTTAAAAATAGTTTTTTTTTAATAGATTTTTTTTTATTTGAAAAGCAAGACAAAACAGTAAAAAGCACATTTTGGCTATTTAAGTAATGCAATGGGGGGGGGGCGGCAAAATAGGCCTACAGGGGGGAAAAATTTAAAAAACTGTATTCAGTATTCTGTCTTCAGCCCAGTGTTTCATTTTGTTCGGCTTCGGCCAAGAATTTTCATTTCGGTGCATCCCTATAAATAAGATATAATTCTTTCACATAATATTTTTTAATAATATTTCACACTATTACTGTATTTTGTTTTTTACTGTAGTATTGATCAAATAAATGGAGCATTGGTGGGTGTAAGAGCTATCTTTCAGAAACATTAAGACAAATCTTACTAACCCAAACTTTTTGAGGCTTATTGTTGTCTGATTAATGTAAAAACATGTTGGACAAATCCGAGCTGCAATCACATGGTCCAGGTCAAGTACAATTTCAGTCAGACTAAAGTGTTTACATTTAAATAAGACTCTGTTGTTTTATTCTGGCTGAAATTAAACATTTAACATGCATGTAAACGCACTTCATGTTTTGGACTGCTTTTAATGGAGGTATAATAATTCCAGTAGCCATAAACTTATTGAGGACTGGTCATGCTGTAATGTTTGCTTAACTTGCACAATGCCAGGAAATGTTGTTCTATACCAAAGCGCCGAGTCCGTTCAACTTTTGTAATAGGCCGTTAAAATCCTTCTCCAGACCTATTAAAGGGATCGTAAACCTCAAATGCACTCTTCACTATTAGCTGATGGTTTGTTGACACAAACCGCTTGGGGGATCTACGGATATTTTCCAATTTTTACCATGTACTCTGCCAAGATTTCTGTAGTTTTGGTGGTTTCTCTTAAACTCTGTTTGTCTTTCTGTTTTCCTAATTTTTGTGTTATTCATCTCAGGCCCCTTTCCCTGCAAAGCCGTGAACAAGATCCTGTGGAGGACAACAGAATCAGGGTGCGTGCTGTAATGTGTGAGAAATGAAATCCCATGATCGCATGTTTTTCGGTTCTCTCAGGAGGGTCTCCTCTGTTGTGTCTGTAGAGCTCCTCTAGTGTTGTTCAGTGGCGGTATGCCCAGAGCCAGCTATGGAGACCGACACTGCTTGACCATCCTCCAGGACAGCAGCCACGTCACCCTGGACTTCACCTCGCGTGTCATAGACTTCTTCACCATTCACTGCACAGACAAAGATAAGGGTGAGCAGGCCACCCATGGGCCCGGTGGTATGGCTTAATGTTTAAAGATTTGGGTGGTTTGACCTAACTCTTATTTTGAGCTCATAATATCAAACGATCAAAATTGATCATAATATGGTTAATTTTGCTGAAAGTTCAACACCAAACTGTTTTGTTATACAGCATTATCTATCTAGTGATTTTAAACATCTCTAAGTAATAATAGTAGCTATTATTATATTATTTATTTAATAATGGATGGTGATTGTTGTTGTTGTGTAATAATATATAATTCATATTTATTTAATACTACTACTACTACTACTACTACTACTACTACTACT